TAAAGGAGGCTAATGTTGGGCTATAAAGGAACTACAGCACGGTCACATGACTTCACGTCACCACCGCTAAGCTAAAGGAGGCTAATGTTGGGCTATAAAGGAACTACAGCACGGTCACATGACTTCACGTCACCACCGCTAAGCTAAAGGTGGCTAATGTTGGGCTATAAAGGAACTACAGCATGGTCACATGACTTCACGTCACCACCGCTAAGCTAAAGGTGGCTAATGTTGGGCTATAAAGGAACTACAGCACGGTCACATGACTTCACGTCACCACCGCTAAGCTAAAGGTGGCTAAGGTTGGGCTATAAAGGAACTACAGCACGGTCACATGACTTTACGTCACCACCGCTAAGCTAAAGGTGGCTAATGTTGGGCTATAAAGGAACTACAGCACGGTCACATGACTTCACGTCACCACCGCTAAGCTAAAGGTGGCTAAGGTTGGGCTATAAAGGAACTACAGCACGGTCACATGACTTCACGTCACCACCGCTAAGCTAAAGGAGGCTAATGTTGACATAAATATGATATCTTCTGCAATAGGTTACCAAAATCAACAGACTTACCGCAGCCTTCACTGTCATTGGCCAGGCGGTAACCGTGGGAACAGCCGTAGCTCGGTGTTGTCATGGAAATCAGTTTTGGTTCTGATGTAAACATGGACCGGATATTACCCAGAAGCCGCTGAACGCCCTCCAGAAGCCTGGACTCGTTCAGAAACAGGCCTGATGAAAATAAAATAAAAAACCGTCAACATAAACATTTACATCCAGAACAACAAGGTAAGAAATTACACGAACAAAAACTATGATTTAAAACCTTTGTTTTGACTGAAAAGTATTTCGATGAAGGCTGGATCTGAAGTAGCTTTGCAACTATTCCTGCTTTCATTTGAATATAATTTAAGAAGCTTTGAGTTGTAAAGATATCTCCTAAATCCTGTGACACTCGAAGGCGGTTCTGAGTCCTACCTGAGAAGAATGTACCTGAGAAGAATGTACCTGAGCAGAATGTACCTGAGAAGAATGTACCTTACATCCCAGTGTTCTGTTTCGTACTATTTCCACCTTGATTCAGTGTTTTTGTGGATGGATTTCGGTGCACGTTCTTACCGGCGTGGTGCAGGTCGGGGAAGTCAGAGGTCGGGAGGTCAGAGAGGGTGGAGCTCCATCTGAAGGTCAACCTCATGGCGTCGTCTCCGACACACTGCAGACGCACCGAGGAGCCGTCACACAGAGACACCGAGGACAACGGGAGCTACACACACACACACACACACACACACACACACACACACACACACACACACACACACACACACACACACACATAATAACACACATATATTAGTGTGTGTGTGTGTTCAGAGCCAGGCTAGCTGTTCCCATCTGTTTCCAGTCATTATGCTAAGCTAAACTACCAGAAACCTGCAGGTCCGCTGCAAGTCTGACTACTTGTGTTGCAAAGTGCTTTCTAAATAAACTTGCCTTGCCTAACACCATGCTGGGCGTGTGTGTGTGTCACCTGTGCAGAGCAGAGCCCCCTGCTGGTCATCATGGTGAACAGCAGGGGTTTCAGACGGCTGATCTGAGAGCAGGACGACGACAAGAGCCAGAGCTGAGAGGAGGAGACTGAGAGGAGAGGCTGAGGGACTACACACACACACACACACACACACACACACACACACACACACACACACACACACACACACACACACACACACACACACACACACACACACACACACACACACACACACACACACACACACACACACACACACACGCACACGCACACACACACACACAGATTATTTGTATTTAGCAATAGTTTTGTTCCTGACATGTTTTGTAAAATTAAAATGTGTTGCGAAATTAAAATAAAGATATTGAGCTGAATCCACCATCTGACATTTATTTTGAAAATATCAGATATTGAAGCTTTTACTTTGACAGGCTCCGCTCAGAGGGGGGTCTCCGGTCCATCGCTGACCCTCGCTATCACACAGGAAGCTGCCGACAGGAAGTGAGTTCTGGTAACCACGGTGACAGACGAGGTCACAGCTCTGCCGACCCTCAGCTGCCGGGCGGCACAGCAGTGCACCATGGGTAATGGAGTTTGGACAGAGAGGACCTGGAGAGGAGAGCAACGACCAATCAGAAGCCTCCACCAGAGAAGACCTAATATCAACTAGAGAATGCAATTCCTGAAGAAATTGCTAGTGGGAATGCTTCATGCTGAAATGTACTGTGTAAGAAGAAAGTGAAGAATTTAGATTGAAATGATACATGAACACTGGGGGCTTGAATGTGTGATGAGAGAAGAAAATAAAGTAAAAAGGCTTGGAAAGCAGCAGAATATTTGAACTGCAAACTTTTGAACTAACTTAATTATCTGTCGCCATGGCAACGGCATTTGATGACACCCCATAATACGCTTAGATGCGTTGATGGCTGCATCGTTACCAAACCGGTGAAGTTTTGGGCCATTTGGAGCATTTTCACTGAAGTTATGAGAAAACCGTGGTTCAAGGCGAGCATTGTGTTGCCATGGCAACGACATTTGAAGAAATCTCAAAACTGTCCCGTAGATGTCTTCACGGCTGGACTGTTAGCACACATGTGAAGTTTGAGCACTTTTTGAACACTTTCATAGGAGTTATAGCGACATCATGTTTTATGGCGAGGGATGCGTTTCCATGGAAACGGCATATGGTGAGATCTCAGATTTGGCGTAGAGCTCTTGAGGCATGGACCAGTGATATACAAGTGAAGATTGGGGGACGATTGGACCGTGTCGATTGGACTTACAGCCACATCGTGTTTCATGTTGAGTGGTCTGTTGCTATGGCAACGTCATTTGATGACACCCCATAATACCCTTAGATGCATTGATGGCTGCATCGTTACCAAACCTGTGAAGTTCTGGGCTGTTTGGAGTATTTTCACTGAAGCTATGAGAAAACCGTGTTTCAAGGCGAGCATTGTGTTGCCATGGCAACGGCATTTGAAGAAATCTCCAAACTGTCCCGTAGATGTCTTCACGGCTGGACTGTTAGCACACTGCTACCTGGAGGCTGCTGCTCTGAGCACGTCAGCATCGTGTTCCATTACACAGGTGTTTATAGTTGAGCTAACGAGCTCTGTAGAGATCACAGGTTTCCATTGTTCTGAATGAGAGATGAACCTCTTACATGTGAACGTTTTGTGGAAGAACCGTAACAGATATCTGTGAAATTTCAAAACGTGAAGCATGTCAAGGAAGTTGAGTATCTGAAGTGTACTTTTTGTGTAGTTTTGGGTTAATAATGTGGCCTTTTTGGCAGTTTAACTAAAGGTGTGCGGCTGCTACCATGAGGAAATATCTGTCTGAAATTACAATGGGCTTCAATGGAGACATGATGAACGTTTTTGTCACTTCATGCCCTCAAGAGGCATTTTGTTGAATTATGTTGCTTAATTATTTAACATTTTTCAAGCTACGAGATGTTTTCCTACGTTTGTCATGAAAAGTTATGTCTCAGGAATGTAGGGTTTGGGAATTATGGCAGTTTAAAAAAAAATATGAAGGCACATTTAAAGATTTCTCACCCTCTAGCTGTGACATCACGCACTCTAGTTAATGTTAAAATGTGAAGAAAACCTCTAAAACAAGGTCTGAACAAATGTTAATATTTCTAAAAGTAAGAATCAGATTTTAAAGGTTGTTTTAAACGAATAATGTCAGAAAGATGTGTAACATTTTAAAGTTGGAATGAGGTTTCTGAGTGAAAGTATGAATGAACAGTTAGCAGTTGAAGTCGCATGAAGATTTGTTGAAGTCTGAAGATTTTCTCCATTGACTTCCATGTTAAAAATGTGATGCATTATGGGATGTATCTCTGGAATTATGAAAGTTATGAATGAGAAAAGTAAAAGCCATCGCTTCCCGACCGAGCTGAACGTTTTGATGTTTGAACGGAGTTTCTGCGATGTTCAATGCGGGAGGATTAGAGGGCCAAAATAAGTCGGTCCACAGTCAGATAGTGGAAATGTTGATAACAGCATTCCCACTAAATTAGGGACTGAGGACAGACATTCAAAATAAAGCTAATATTGATGGGATACTGAGAGGATTTTCAAAATAAACCTCACATTAATACTGAGGATCGGGAGGAGGTGGGTTTGTTTACACTCACGGAAACATGACTATGTTCGCAAGCACACACACACATCCACACACACACTCACGGTCACATGACGGCGTCCGCCCTGTCTGTCGAGAAGTTCGGGTCCCGCCCACTTCCTGTCCGTCCTCAGAGACACACCAACAGGAAGTGACATCACACTGCAACGGGATGAAGGATCCGTCGGGGCGACACTGAGAGCCCTGCAGCTCACACCAGCTGGGACCTGAACGCACCACACACACAGGTTCACCACAGCCTGAACACACTGAGTGTGTGTGTGTGTGTGTGTGTGTGTGTGTGTGTGTGTGTGTGTGTGTGTGTGTGTGTGTGTGTGTGTGTATGTGTGTGTTTGTGTCTGTGTACATGTCAGTTGTCCTGTGGCGCTCTGTGTTGCCGTCTGCAGCGTCTCCCCGGTCCGAGGGTTCACACACCATCCGTCAGCGCCTCCTTTCTGCAGCACGGAGAAACCACCGTCCTGAAACACACACACACACACATTAGTATAACTTTAGCACGTCACACGACCTGTCGACAGTCAAACATTGTTGATAGTAGATAATGTCAAGACAAAGCGTCTGTGTGTGTGTGTGTGTGTGTGTGTGTGTGTGTGTGTGTGTGTGTGATGTCTTACCTCCTCACAGGTTGGTTGGTAAGCTGAAGCTGAGGATCCTTTCATCCAACCAGAGAGCAGAGAGTGAGCCTGAGCCCTCTGACAGCGAGTCAGACCTGCAGCACACACACATACACACACACACACACACACACACACACACACACACACACACACACACACACACACACACACACACACACACACACATATTTAGGACATTGTAATGGCTGATAATACTGGCACACAAAAATAAATAAATAAAAGATTAATCCGTAATTGGTGCTCCTTCATGTATTTGTGGCAGGGGGACTGTTTGTGTGTGTGTGTGTGTGTGTGTGTGTGTGTGTGTGTGTGTTTGTGTGTGTGTTTGTATGTATGTGTGTGTGTGTGTGTGTGTATGTGTTGTTGAGATCTCCATATGAAGTGAATACTTAAAACGAAAGTTAATTATAAATCATATATGATCAATCATATTCTTGTATGAACCCATAATGAGAATGCTTCTTGATGGTTTTTGAGTATGCTTACAATTGTATTTGTTGCTTTTTGATAACTTTGCGTTTAAAAAGAGGGTGTTGAGAGTTTCATAGTATGTTGAATACTTAAAACGAAAGTTAGTTAAAATCAAATATAATCAATTATATTCTTGTATAACCCACAATGAACATGCTTCATATTTTAGGTTTTTCTATAGTTACAGTATAAACAAAACACCAGTGGTTTGATAAGTTGAGGGTAAGACCTATACTAATGATGTATGCCTACTCTCTGATAAGAGAGTAGGCCGTTTCTCCCTCTGCTCTCACAGCAGCTCACAGGGGGGGGGGGGGGGGGGGCTCCTGACTGAAGGAGAAACACATTGAGGCCTCAAAAAGGTGGTTATGTCATAGCCATAGAACATGTCTGTCCATGTCCTGTTTTCTACACAAACATGGGAAGGTGTGTCTTAGGCCATAGCCAATAGAAGATGTTGGTTGGGGATAGAGGAGGAGTTTGTTTTTTGGGGTTTCGATCCGGTTTTTTGAGCATAAAGAGACTGGTTTTTTGAGAGAGCGCGAGAGAGAGAGGGGTTTCCCCTGGTAGACTCTCTCCCGGTAGGCTTTGTTCTTCAGAGCTGGGTTAATAGCTCTCGGTAAGGTCCTCTCACACTTGGTAAATATCTCTCAAATGTCTTGGTTGTTGGCTGAGTGGAATGATTTGATGAGAGATGTGTTTGTGAATATTATAACCGCCACCTGTGAGGAATCTTCCTCCGAAACCTTGGCGGATAGGAATGTGTTTTTGAATGTTATACCCGCCGTCTGTCAGAAAAAAGGTATGAAACTGATGTGAATTGATTTGGTGAATGAAAAGTTGAATGCGCTTTTTATTGTCACCGGTCTTTTTATGAGGAAATGCCTCTAAATTCTATCGGGAGAATTTTTAAATGTCACAACTGAATTGGGCAGTTGAAATTAAACATTTTGGTAATAAATGTAAGACTGTGAATTAAAGTTTCACATTTGAACATGATCACAGCACCAGGTTTTTAGTATGATTATAATGTTGTAAAGAGAGAAGGTAAAAACCCTGTATTAGTTTGGACCTATTTTTCTTCAAATAAACTGATCCCACCTTTTGGACTGGGATAATTTAAAAGACACCTGTGCTCTCCTCTCCTGCGTCAAAGGTAAGACTGCACCCTGCCACACACACTTAGGTAGGAGCACACTCCATTTACTGATATCAAAATCCTTCGGGATCGCTTAAACAGATTCAGAGAGTCGTCTGAATTGAAACAGCAGTTAATTGAACCTGGTTCTTCGGGAAGTTAGTAGAGGTGAGATCTTGCTGACGTTGGTGGATCTGAGCCAAGCAGTAAACTTACATAGACTCAATAACTTCGGAAAGGTCAATTAGTAGGTCAGAGTAATTTACCGGAATAAATTATCAGGACTTCTCCGACTCTAAACAGTGTGTGTGTGTGTGTGTGTGTGTGTGTTTGTATGCGTGCGTGTGTGTGTGTGTGTGTGTGTGCACGTGTGTGTTTCCTCACATTTGGGCAGGTGGAGAGAGCGGCTGGTCAGAGAGTCGGCGATGTACTCTCCATCTTCATCAACACACCAACACTGACCTGCAAACACACACACGCAGTGATGGAGAGGCACTGAGTTATAGAGAGCATACACAGCAAGCATAGTGTAGTTTAAGAGTGTGTGTGTGTGTGTGTGAGACCTGTGCTGTGGTGGCACTGTGTGTGCAGCCAGTCTCCGTCAGAGTCACACTGAGGACTGAACAGCTGGTAGGAGCGACGGAGAGGAGGCAGCAGCATCTGGAGCGCTGAAACACAACGACACACTTCCTGTTTCTCTTCGGAGGAAACACAGCTCCGACATCTTGAAAGAACATCCACCACTTTCATCTGGTTTGCAACTTATCTAATATATCATATTCCATCTACTTGAATACAGACTCTTCTTGCACTATTTTAACTATTGTATCTGTGTTATTGTGTGGCTCTGTGGGCGGAGCCTGTGCACATGACAACAAAAGCCTTGAGTCCCTGACAGCGGAAAGTAAACAATCATTGAATGAACATCTCACTGGAGAAAGCAGCCAATCGCAGAGCGGCGTCGGATCGGCTCAGCAGCCTCTCAGAGACCAGCAGCTCCTCCTCTGATTGGCCGGTCTGCAGCTCCTCCGGGGTCAGCTGCAGGCCGTGGGCCAATAGGAAGCCATATCCCAGAGGCAGGTGGGAGGAGTTAGAGAGGGTGATGATGCTCTGCACTTCCTGTCTGAACGCCGTGACATCATCGAGCGCCCGAGAGCAGCGACCTGCGAAGTAGCATCGCTAACGGTTAGCATTCAGCGCAGTATTTTCAATATCATCACGTACATAAAATAACACGGTTATACAAGTTTATTAGCTGACATATTAAACGTTAACGGAGCAGATTCATTTAGAGAACAATCAAAACCAAAAACAAATTGTTCCGCCGGCAGTTTAAACGGCGGCTCTGTTGGGACACACGACGACCTGGCGCAGGACAAAGGGAGAGGTGAGTCAGGGCTCCGTGTGCACCGGGTGACAGCTTCTAAAAGCCGCAGGACAAAGGGAGAGGTGAGTCAGGGCTCCGTGTGCACCGGGTGACAGCTTCTAAAAGCCGCAGGACAAAGGGAGAGGTGAGTCAGGGCTCCGTGTGCACCGGGTGACAGCTTCTAAAAGCCGCAGGACAAAGGGAGAGGTGAGTCAGGGCTCCGTGTGCACCGGGTGACAGCTTCTAAAAGCCGCAGGACAAAGGGAGAGGTGAGTCAGGGCTCCGTGTGCACCGGGTGACAGCTTCTAAAAGCCGCAGGACAAAGGGAGAGGTGAGTCAGGGCTCCGTGTGCACCGGGTGACAGCTTCTAAAAGCCGCAGGACAAAGGGAGAGGTGAGTCAGGGCTCCGTGTGCACCGGGTGACAGCTTCTAAAAGCCGCAGGACAAAGGGAGAGGTGAGTCAGGGCTCCGTGTGCACCGGGTGACAGCTTCTAAAAGCCCTTCATGAGATGGAAAGGGTCTCGTTCTCCCCACACCACCTGCATGTCACCTGACTGAGGATCAGGGTGTGTCCTCCCCGGGTAACAGGAGCGCCCTCAAACCACAAGGCAGATGTTGTGATGCCAGAAAGAATATCTCTGTTCGTCAGAAACTGTGTACAAATCTAATTTAGGGGATTTCATTTTTTTAATATTGATAAGATTTCAAATAAATCCTATTTTTCTCTTTTGTTGTGTTGATGTTTGTTTGTGTCTGACCTTCAGAGGACGGAGGCTCCTGGGTCGCTCCCTCTGGACCTGAAACACAACAGAACACATCTGTAACTGCAGGAAGACACCGTGTGCAAAGTGAATATATGTTTACCCACGTTTTGGAATATTATCTTTATCTTAGTCAAAGAAAACAATACATATTTAGAAGTAATAAGAAACAAAGGGATAGAAATAAATATATGTATTTAAAAAAAATAAAATAGTACTTATAGTACAAAAGAATAAACAAAGATGAACTATTAGTACTTTGAGAGATTTTCAGGGAAAGACATGGAAACATAAACTTGTATCAATAACGCAGTGTGACACGAGTCAGCCATTACAGCTGTGGTTTCCTTCAGAGTGTCCTCCTTAGTCATACAGTATATAAAGGTCTTTAGACCCCACCACAGTCCCTTTAGACCCCCACCACAGTCCCTTTAGACCCCCACCACAGTCCCTTTAGACCCCCACCACAGTCTCTTTAGACACCCCACCACAGTCCCTTTAGACCCCCACCACGTCTCTTTAGACCCCCACCACAGTTCTCTTTAGGACCCCCACCACAGTCCCTTTAGACCCCCCACCACAGTCCTTTAGACCCCCCACCACCACAGTCCTTTAGACCCCCCACCACAGTCTCTTTAGACCCCCACACAGTCCCTTTAGACCCCCCCCACAGTCTCTTTAGACCCCCACCACAGTCCCTTAGACCCCCACCACAGTCTCTTTAGACCACCACCACAGTCTTTAGACCCCCACACACAGTCCCTTTAGACCCCCACCACAGTCTCTTTAGACCCCCACCACAGTCTCTTTAGACCCCCCAACACAGTCCCTTTAGACCCCCACCCACAGTCCCTTTAGACCCCCACCACAGTCTCTTTAGACCCCCACCACAGTCCCTTTAGACCCCCACCACAGTCCCTTTAGACCCCCACCACAGTCCCTTTAGACCCCCACCACAGTCCCTTTAGACCCCCACCACAGTCTCCTTTAGACCCCCACCACAGTCCCTTTAGACCCCCACCACAGTCCTCTTTAGACCCCCACCACAGTCCCTTAGACCCACCACAGTTCTTAGACCCCCACCCACAGTCCCTTTAGACCCCCACCACAGTCCCTTTAGACCCCCACCACAGTCCCTTTAGACCCCACCACAGTCCCTTTAGACCCCCACCACAGTCCCTTTAGACCCCCACCACAGTCCCTTTAGACCCCCACCACAGTCTCTTTAGACCCCCACCACAGTCCCTTTAGACCCCCACCACAGTCCCTTTAGACCCCCACCACAGTCCCTTTAGACCCCCCACCACAGTCCCTTTAGACCCCCAACCACAGTCTCTTTAGACCCCCACCACAGGCTCTTTAGACCCCCACCACAGTCTCTTTAGACCCCCACCACAGTCCCTTTAGACCCCCACCACAGTCCCTTTAGACCCCACCACAGTCTCTTTAGACCCCCACCACAGTCCCTTTAGACCCCCACCACAGTCCCTTAGACCCCCCACCACAGTCTCTTTAGACCCCCACCACAGTCCCTTTAGACCCCCCACCACAGTCTCTTTAGACCCCCACCACAGTCCCTTTAGACCCCCACCACAGTCCCTTTAGACCCCCACCACAGTCTCTTTAGACCCCCACCACAGTCCCTTTAGACCCCCACCACAGTCCCTTTAGACCCCCACCACAGTCTCTTTAGACCCCCACCACAGTCCCCTTTAGTCCCCCACCACAGTCCCTTTAGACCCCCACCACAGTCCCTTTAGACCCCCACCACAGTCCCTTTAGACCCCCACCACAGTCCCTTTAGACCCCCCACCACAGTCTCTTTAGACCCCCACCACAGTCCCTTTAGACCCCCACCACAGTCCCTTTAGACCCCCACCACAGTCCCTTTAGACCCCACCACGTCCCTTTAGGACCCCCACCACAGTCCCTTTAGACCCCCACCACAGTCCTCTTTAGACCCCCACCACAGTCCTCTTTAGACCCCCACCACCAGTCCCTTTAGACCCCCACCACAGTCTCTTTAGACCCCCAACCACAGTCCCTTTAGACCCCCCACCACAGTCTCAGTTAGAGCCCCCACCACAGTCTCTTTAGACCCCCACCACAGTCCCTTTAGGACCCCCACCACAGTCTCTTTAGACCCCCACCACAGTCCCTTTAGACCCCCACCACAGTCCCTTTAGACCCCCACCACAGTCTCTTTAGACCCCCCACCACAGTCCCTTTAGAACCCCCACCACAGTCCCTTTAGACCCCCCACCACAGTCTCTTTAGACCCCCACCACAGTCCCTTAAGACCCCCACCACAGTCCCTTTAGACCCCCACCACAGTCCCTTTAGACCCCCACCACAGTCCCTTAAGACCCCCACCACAGTCCCTTTAGACCCCCACCACAGTCCCTTTAGACCCCCACCACCCCCACCACAGTCCCTTTAGACCCCCACCACAGTCCCTTTAGACCCCCAGTCTCTTTAGACCCCCACCACAGTCCCTTTAGACCCCCAGTCCCTTTAGACCCCCACCACAGTCCCTTTAGACCCCCAGTCCCTTTAGACCCCCACCACAGTCCCTTTAGACCCCCCAGTCCCTTTAGACCCCCAGTCTCTTTAGACCCCCAGTCCCTTTAGACCCCCACTACAGTCCCTTTAGACCCCCAGTCCCTTTAGACCCCCACCACAGTCCCTTTAGACCCCCACCACAGTCCCTTTAGACCCCCAGTCCCTTTAGACCCCCACCACAGTCTCTTTAGACCCCCACCACAGTCCCTTTAGACCCCCAGTCCCTTTAGACCCCCACCACAGTCCCTTTAGAAATAATAAGTTTATAATAATAATATCTGAATAACATTAAAGATGTTTGAATACTATGGGGCTCTGCAGCTCTTTGCCGTAGCTTCTTCCTGACCAACACATTGTAGTTCTTTAGTGTGGTCTCACAGGTGACAGCGCCCCCTGCTGGTCCGGCACTGATGGCTCTCCCCCCCCCACACTGCAGCGGCACGAAGTCTCCACCGGGGGAGCAGCGCGGCACGGAGTCTCCACCGGGGGAGCAGCGCGGCAGGGAGTCTCCACCGGGGGAGCAGCGCGGCACGGAGTCTCCACCGGGGGAGCAGCGCGGCACGAAGCGGGCTGACGAGCCTCTGGAGCAGGAGCGCAGCACAGGAGACAACACCTGCATCAGGTAAACAATCACATGCAGGTAAACAATCACAAGCAGGTAAACAATCACAAGCAGGTAAACAATCACAAGCAGGTAAACAATCACAAGCAGGTAAACAATCACAAGCAGGTAAACAATCACAAGCAGGTAAACAATCACAAGCAGGTAAACAATCACAAGCAGGTAAACAATCACAAGCAGGTAAACAATCACATGCAGGTAAACAATCACATGCAGGTAAACAATCACAAGCAGGTAAACAATCACAAGCAGGTAAACAATCACATGCAGGTAAACAATCACATGCAGGTAAACAGTCTGACCTGCTGCAGGGAGGCCTCTGATTGGCTGCTGCTCCTCAGGACCTCCTGCAGGTTGGACAGGAAGTTGGGGTCCTTCAGAGCTCTGATGACGGTCTGGACTCTCCGCCGGTTCAGGGGGGAGAGTCCCTCCCCCACCACCACTCCTCCCACCCCCACGCCCCCACTGATGTTCTGCAGGAACCTCCCTCCAAAGAGGGTCTCCTGCAGGCGGGGGGGGGAGGAGAGGGAGAGAGCGCTCAGAGCCTCCCCCACCGAGGGGAAGACGCCCTGCAGAACCTCCCCCATCAGAGAGAGGAGGGAGGAGGGGTCCTCACCCCCCGTCTGGAGGGGGGGGAGGGGGAGGCAGGGGGGTGGCGGAGGCCTCATCGTGTGGGGGGGGGCCGGACCGGAGAACAGACGGGAGAAAACCAGACGACGCTGAGAGAGACAATCAGAGGGGGAAGGACCTGAGGGGGAGACAAGAGAGAGACAATCAGAGGGGGAGGACCTGAGGGGGAGACAAGAGAGAGACAATCAGAGGGGGGGGGACCTGAGGGGGAGACAAGAGAGAGACAATCAGAGGGGGAAGACCTGAGGGGGAGACAAGAGAGAGACAATCAGAGGGGGAAGACCTGAGGGGGAGACAAGAGAGAGACAATCAGAGGGGGGGGACCTGAGGGGGAGACAAGAGAGAGACAATCAGAGGGGGAAGACCTGAGGGGGAGACAAGAGAGAGACAATCAGAGGGGGGGGGACCTGAGGGGGAGACAAGAGAGAGACAATCAGAGGGGGAAGACCTGAGGGGGAGACAAGAGAGAGACAATCAGAGGGGGAGGACCTGAGAGGGAGACAAGAGAGAGACAATCAGAGGGGGGGGACCTGAGGGGGAGACAAGAGAGACACAATCAGAGGGGGAAGACCTGAGGGGGAGACAAGAAAGACACAATCAGAGGGGGGGGGACCTGAGGGGGAGACAAGAGAGACACAATCAGAGGGGGAAGGACCTGAGAGGGAGACAAGAGAGAGACAATCAGAGGGGGAAGACCTGAGGGGGAGACAAGAGAGAGACAATCAGAGGGGGAAGACCTGAGGGGGAGGGGAGAGAGACACAATCAGAGGGGGAAGGACCTGAGAGGGAGACAAGAGAGACACAATCAGAGGGGGAAGACCTGAGGGGGAGACAAGAGAGAGACAATCAGAGGGGGAAGACCTGAGAGGGAGACAAGAGAGAGACAATCAGAGGGGGAAGACCTGAGGGGGAGACAAGAGAGAGACAATCAGAGGGGGAAGACCTGATGGGGAGTGGAGAGAGACACAATCAGAGGGGGAAGGACCTGAGAGGGAGACAAGAGAGAGACAATCAGATGGGGGGGACCTGAGGGGGAGACAAGAGAGAGACAATCAGAGGGGGAGGACCTGAGAGGGAGACAAGAGAGACACAATCAGAGGGGGAAGACCTGAGGGGGAGACAAGAGAGACACAATCAGAGGGGGAAGGACCTGAGAGGGAGACAAGAGAGAGACAATCAGAGGGGGGGGACCTGAGGGGGAGACAAGAGAGAGACAATCAGAGGGGGAGGACCTGAGAGGGAGACAAGAGAGACACAATCAGAGGGGGAAGACCTGAGGGGGAGACAAGAGAGACACAATCAGAGGGGGAAGACCTGAGGGGGAGACAAGAGAGAGACAATCAGAGGGGGAAGACCTGAGGGGGAGACAAGAGAGACACAATCAGAGGGGGAAGACCTGAGGGGGAGACAAGAGAGACACAATCAGAGGGGGGGGACCTGAGGGGGAGACAAGAGAGAGACAATCAGAGGGGGAGGACCTGAGGGGGAGACAAGAGAGACACAATCAGAGGGGGAAGACCTGAGGGGGAGACAAGAGAGAGACAATCAGAGGGGGGGGACCTGAGGGGGAGACAAGAGAGAGACAATCAGAGGGGGAAGACCTGAGGGGGAGACAAGAGAGAGACAATCAGAGGGGGGGGGACCTGAGGGGGAGACAAGAGAGAGACAATCAGAGGGGGAAGACCTGAGGGGGAGACAAGAGAGACACAATCAGAGGGGGAAGACCTGAGGGGGAGACAAGAGAGACACAATCAGAGGGGGAAGACCTGAGGGGGAGACAAGAGAGAGACAATCAGAGGGGGAAGACCTGAGGGGGAGACAAGAGAGACACAATCAGAGGGGGAAGACCTGAGGGGGAGACAAGAGAGACACAATCAGAGGGGGGGGGACCTGAGGGGGAGACAAGAGAGAGACAATCAGAGGGGGAAGACCTGAGGGGGAGACAAGAGAGACACAATCAGAGGGGGAAGACCTGAGGGGGAGACAAGAGAGAGACAATCAGAGGGGGAGGACCTGAGGGGGAGACAAGAGAGAGACAATCAGAGGGGGAAGACCTGAGGGGGAGACAAGAGAGAGACAATCAGAGGGGGGGGGGACCTGAGGGGGAGACAAGAGAGAGACAATCAGAGGGGGAAGACCTGAGGGGGAGACAAGAGAGACACAATCAGAGGGGGGGGGAACCTGAGGGGGAGACAAGAGAGAGACAATCAGAGGGGGGGGACCTGAGGGGGAGACAAGAGAGACACAATCAGAGGGGGAAGACCTGAGGGGGAGACAAGAGAGAAGACAATCAGAGGGGGGGGACCTGAGGGGGAGACAAGAGAGAGACAATCAGAGGGGGAAGACCTGAGGGGGAGACAAGAGAGACACAATCAGAGGGGGAAGACCTGAGGGGGAGACAAGAGAGAGACAATCAGAGGGGGGGGACCTGAGGGGGAGACAAGAGAGACACAATCAGAGGGGGAAGACCTGAGGGGGAGACAAGAGAGAGACAATCAGAGGGGGAGGACCTGAGGGGGAGACAAGAGAGAGACAATCAGAGGGGGAAGACCTGAGGGGGAGACAAGAGAGAGACAATCAGAGGGGGGGGGACCTGAGGGGGAGACAAGAGAGAGACAATCAGAGGGGGAAGACCTGAGGGGGAGACAAGAGAGACACAATCAGAGGGGGAAGACCTGAGAGGGAGACAAGAGAGACACAATCAGAGGGGGAAGACCTGAGGGGGAGACAAGAGAGAGACAATCAGAGGGGGAAGACCTGAGGGGAGACAAGAGAGACACAATCAGAGGGGGAAGACCTGAGGGGGAGACAAGAGAGACACAATCAGAGGGGGGGGACCTGAGGGGGAGACAAGAGAGAGACAATCAGAGGGGGAAGACCTGAGGGGGAGACAAGAGAGAGACAATCAGAGGGGGAAGACCTGAGGGGGAGACAAGAGAGAGACAATCAGAGGGGGGGGGCCTGGGGGGGAGACAAGAGAGGGACAATCAGAAGGGGGAAGACCTGAGGGGGAGACAAGAGAGAGACAATCAGAGGGGGGGGACCTGAGGGGGAGACAAGAGAGAGACAATCAGAGGGGGAAGACCTGAGGGGGAGACAAGAGAGACACAATCAGAGGGGGGGGGACCTGAGGGGGAGACAAGAGAGAGACAATCAGAGGGGGAAGACCTGAGGGGGAGACAAGAGAGAGACAATCAGAGGGGGGGGACCTGAGGGGGAGACAAGAGAGACACAATCAGAGGGGGAAGACCTGAGGGGGAGACAAGAGAGAGACAATCAGAGGGGGGGGACCTGAGGGGGAGACAAGAGAGAGACAATCAGAGGGGGAAGACCTGAGGGGGAGACAAGAGAGACACAATCAGAGGGGGAAGACCTGAGGGGGAGACAAGAGAGAGACAATCAGAGGGGGGGGACCTGAGGGGGAGACAAGAGAGAGACAATCAGAGGGGGAAGGACCCTGAGGGGGAGACAAGAGAGACACAATCAGAGGGGGAAGACCTGAGGGGGAGACAAGAGGAGAGCAGACTAGAACGTGGTCATCATGAGTAAACATGAGTTGTGTTCCTCTATTGATAACGAGTGATTGACTCGCTGCAGGGCACCTCCCTCAGAGTAATCATCTAATAGTGATAATATTGATCTGAACCGGAGTGGTGGGTTGTTACTGGACTCCTGTGCTAGTCATGGATTGGCCATAACAAACACCTTGTTGGAACATAAGGATGCTCATAAGTGAACTTGATACCTAGGCAGAAGGTCCATGATCGATTTCGTTATCGTATCATCGGACCTGAGACTCTCGGGTAACGAGAGGGGCGGAGAACTGATCACCATCTGGTGGTGAGTTGGGTCGAGTGGCGGGGGAAGCCTCTGGACAGACCTCCTGGTGAGCACAAATGTGTAGTGCAGGTGAACTGGGAACGTCTGGAGGAGGCCCAAGTTCAGGAGGCCTTCAACTCACACCTCCGGCAGGGCTGTTCAGGCATCCCTGTGGAGGCTGGGGACATTGAACCGGAGTGGGCGGTGTTCAAAGCCTCTATTGCCGAAGCCGGGTGGGGAGCTCAAGGTCTTAGGTGCCTCAAGGGGCGGTAACCCTCGAACCTCCTGGTGGACACTGGTGGTCAGGGAAGCCGTCCGACTGAAGAAGGAGGCCTTCAGGGATTTGTTATCCCGGGGGACTCCCGAGGCAGTTGCAAGGTACCGACAGGCCAGAAGGGCAGCAGCCTCATCCGTGGCCGAGGCAAAGCAGCGGGTGTGGGAGAAGTTCGGACATGGAGAAGGACTTTCGGGCGGCACCAAAGTTGTTCTGGAAAACTGTTCCACACCTCAGGAGGGGGAAGCAGGGAACCATCCAAGCTGTGTACAGTGAGGATGGGACGTTGTTGACCTCAACTGATGGGTGTTAGGGTGCTGGAAGGAACACTTTGAGGAACTCCTGAACACTTCTTATATCTCCACCTAGGACCAGGTGGAGGGATTACATCTCTTCCCAGGACCAGGTGGAGGGATTATATCTCTACCCAGGACCAGGTGGAGGGATTATATCTCTACCTAGGACCAGGTGGAGGGATATATCTCTACCCAGGATCAGGTGGAGGGATTATATCTCTACCCAGGACCAGGTGGAGGGATTATATCTCTACCCAGGACCAGGTGGAGGGATTATATCTCTACCCAGGACCAGCTGGAGGGATTATATCTCTACCCAGGATCAGGTGGAGGGATTATATCTCTACCCAGGACCAGGTGGAGGGATTATATCTCTACCCAGGACCAGGTGGAGGGATTATATCTCTACCCAGGACCAGGTGGAGGGATTATATCTCTACCCAGGACCAGGTGGAGGGATTATATCTCTACCCAGGACCAGGTGGAGGGATTATATCTCTACCCAGGACCAGGGGGAGGGATTATATCTCTACATAAAACCAGGTGGAGGGATTATATCTCTACCCAGGACCAGGTGGAGGGATTATATCTCTACCCAGGACCAGGTGGAGGGATTATATCTCTACCCAGGACCAGGTGGAGGGATTATATCTCCACCCAGGACCAGGTGGAGGGATTATATCTCTACATAAAACCAGGTGGAGGGATTATATCTCTACATAAAACCAG